TGTGTATAAATGCCACAGTTTTTTAATCCATTCATCTATTGAAGGGCATCTAGGTTGATTCCAAAGTCTAGCTATTGTGAATTGTGCTGCTGTGATCATTGATGTGGCAGTATCCCTATAGTATGCTCTTTTTTAAGGTCCTCAGGGAATAGACCGAGAAGGGCGATAGCTGGGTCAAATGGTGGTTCCATTCCAATTGGTGCGGCCAATATGGAAAACAGTATGTAATTGACTTTAACAGGAAAAAAATTTTTGTTTGATACAAAATAAGAACTTAATATGGAGACAATCGGACTCCTTATTTCACAGTAATTGTTCTTCTTTATGTATTGTATACTAATTAATGTTTACTTATTTGATTGACCTCCTACTGTTCATAAGATCATTGAGTATATAAGTGCATCTGTCTTGCTCTCTGATGTCTCCCCAGTGCCCAGTTCCTGTATGTAGCACTTGTAGGCCCTCCAGTGCTTTTTTCCTTCCCAAATAAATGGACTTTTCTGAACTAAAAGAATTGTGAGAATGTGTGTGTGTGTGTGTGTGTGTGTGTGTGTGTGTGTGTGTGTGTGTTCGTGTGTGTTCATCCATCCCCTTTGAGTTCCAAATGCATGTGTTATGGAAGTTAGTATATAAGCACTAAGACCTTACACATTTGAGTCTTATATGGAAATATTATGTTAAGTTTAGAAACACTAGTTTTAGATTTCAGTATTGATCCCTGAATAATAGTCATAAAATCCTCATTTTTTATTTATTATTTATTATTTTTATTATCTTATTCTTTGTTGTTGTTGTTCTTTAGTATCTGGAGTCCATCTTTCACCAGCTTCTCCTGAGATTGTTTTGGACCATGACCACTCGTCTCCTTCACTTGGATGCCTCTCTTCTGATGCCATCATTTCATCACCAGAGAACCTACATGCAGACAATACTATTATGAATCAAACAATTCCTAAAGCACAGGTAAAGACAAGTATATTTTAACAGAAAATTTGTATACCTAAAAAGTACATACTGGTTTACTTGATTCTTTTATGATTTCTGTTTCMATTTAGTTTTTCTAACAGAAATATTTCTGCAATACTTAGAGTTTAAAAACAAGGCAATTATGATTTTTTGGCACAATTAAAAAACATTTGGGTAGCCTTAGTTATTTATTCAAGTGGAATTAGCTTTGTATTTCAAGTCTTGAACTTTAAAATGAAAAATAATTACAAAAAGTATGGTTATTTATATTTTAAGGGAATTTTAACATGTTTACTTGCATTAGAGCATCTATATTAATTTTAGGATATAAACTAAAGAGGCAGCAGTCATTGTCCATCTATTCAGATATTTGTTGAACCAAATATTGTGCTGTGTACTGAAATTAGATTTCTAAAGTTAGATTTATGAAGTATAATTCACAATTTTAAGTAACCTATTAACTTTACTAAAAAATGCTGATCAAATAGAGATCACTGATGAATTTCAAATTCTAATTTACAATTTAAAATGTAAAAAAATTCTACGTGCATAGAATTAAGAATTGGTAAGTATCAGATGTATCTACACTAAATTGTACATTTTCAAACATAAGAAAAAGCATTAAGAATTTTTTTAATGCATTATTATCAAAATAAGAAGTACCTTAGGCTTTGAAGTTAATAGGAAATTTTGATTCTTAGTGCCAGGATTATKTTCTTGGAAAAGTTTGAGGTCTTCTGTAGATGTATTTCAAGTGGGAAATCATTTTGGAACCTTTGCTTCAATTTATTTTCCATATGGGGTTTCTGATGCTCTTTGGATATTTTAATTATTGAAAAAGTGTGAACTTTCTTTTCTTCTTTCTTTCTTATGTGTATATGTGTCTGTGTCTGTGTCTAATGTGGTTTAGATTCAGCAAACAACACACACTCATCTGGATATCCCACTTTTTCCATTGGGCTTAACTGATGAGGCAAGTAATGGAACAATTGCTACTGTGGAAGAGTCTGAGGATTCTGGAACCCATGTATCAAACATACAGCTTCAGCAAAAAATTTCAAGCCTGGAGATTAAACTCAAAGCCTCTGAAGAAGAAAAACTAAGAATTAAAAAGGTAATACTTGCTTAAAAAGTAAAAGTTGGATTGTGTGAACTGAAAATTCGATGTAATCCAAAATTATAATTAAAAACTCACCAGAGGAAGGGGATATTGTCTTCTCTTGAATAGTGGGTTTAAATCAGTCATATCAGGCTATCAATTGGAAAAGCCTTTGATAAGAAATCTTAAAAGTGGTTAGCTTTCCATATCCATGGGTTCCATATTTAAATTCAACCACACATCAAAACTATTAGGGAGGAAAAAATCCATGTACCAAACACATACAGATCATTTTTGTTTTGTTAGCTTTTCATACACAATACAATATATCTATTTACAGTGTATTTACATTATATTACATAATCTACAGATGATTTAAAATRCATAGGAGGATGTGCATAGTGTTATATGCAAATACTATGTCAGTTCATATGAAAGACTTGAGTATCCTCAGATTTTGATGTGAGCAGGGGTTCCTGAAAACAATGTTTTGTTTTCATATATTCATGTATGATCATTCAAATTGACTATATATGAATTTTTAAAGATACGAACAATTTGACTAGGGTTCCCCACTCAGCTAATACTTTCCTTCTGATTTAGTTTAATTTACTTTGGAAGCAGGCAGTATTATATATCTTATGCAGATTTCAAGTTTTATAACATTAACTTCTCCCTATGGGAGTTCAGGCATCATTGGGATATTTGACAAGAATATTTAGATGTATAATAATTTTCATAAATTATTTATGTTCTCATCTGTCTTTCCTACAATTATATATAAATATCTTGACAAATTTGTAGAAAGTTTATATAAGAGATTGGTTTTGTCAATGGGAATTACTTGAGATGCTCTCTTCATTTGTTAGAGTAATTCTAGTGTTTGGTAGAAATTAGAATGAAAAATATAATTTATAATATTATTAGATTTTAAACCGTACTTTCTATGGATTCTTTCCTTGACAGGTATTTTCTGTGTTCATTAACATTACAAAGTTTGTTATTTTTTTCTCTCTTAGGATGTTGAATCATTAATGGAAAAGCATAGTGTGTTAGAAAAAGGTTTCCTAAAAGAAAAAGAGCAAGAGGCCATTTCTTTTCAAGATAGATACAAAGAACTTCAGGTAAGCCTAGTGGACTTAAAGTTTAAAATGTAGCCCTTTTGATGAAGTATGCACCTAATTTCAAAAATTGCTTGGTAAATGTCTTATGAATGAGTAATCTTATACTTGGCTTGAATAAATGATAAAACATTAATCAGTATGGATGAAATCAGTGAAGATGGCCATTTTAGAAAGTGTAATCTGTGAGAAACATTGATTAGTAGTTTGAGGTCAAACAATTTGGTGAAAAATATTCTGTTTCTAGTAGGTATCACTTTGGCAACGGAATATTCTAATTACATGAAGAGTTTATAATTACATGAAGAGTTTAGAATCCTATAAATCTAAAAAGGATATTTAACATTTTTATAAATTGTAGTAATTGTCTCTTCTGAAATTTTTTATTAATAAATTTGTTTCTTCTGTAGTTTTTCCCATTCTAGTAAATRGCAACTTCATCTTTCTAATTGCTAAGGCTAAAACCCACATTTATAATATATAAAATATATGTGTATATATGTACATTAACACATATAKGAGAGTGTGTATATATGTACATATATATATATAAATGTATACATATATATAATTTATTCTCTGTCAGCCTGTTAGCAAAATGTGTTGATCCTACCTTCAAAATATTCTGATTTCTTTATTCTCAGGTTCACAGCTCCTATTCTGTGCTACCATTATTTCTTCCTTGGAATACTAAAATATCATATAACAAATCTTTTTTTTTTTTTGCCTTCCATTTCCCAAATTATAGCCCCGTGATTGGTTTAACACTTAGATCATGTTGTTTTACTTCAGTGGCTTCTCCTCCTCAACTACATTAAAAGCCAAGTTCTTTTTAACTATATTAAAAGCCCTTACATTCTTTGATCCCTTTTCCCTTTCTTTTTCCTATCCTGTTCTCAGTCATTTTGTTTTATCCCAGTGTTTGGAGTGTCTTTCCTTCAGATCCATGCATAGTTTTTGTTGTTGTTGTTGTTTTTAACATTCTTCCCTTCAAATATTATCTTATCAGAAGGCCTTTCCAAATAATACTAGCAACCCCTCCACCAACCTTACCATATTCTGTTTTATTTTACTTCATATCAGTTTTTACATGTGACAAACTATGCATTTASTTATTTATTTTCCTGAATAATTGTAATATGTGCGTGGCCTTCAAATTTCCAGTACTGGCTCTTCTCCTGAGAAGAGTTTTTATTTCAGCAGATAGGGTTTTAAATGTAAATCAGACCAGATCTCAACCTTTATTCCTATTTGCTTTCCAATGTAAATCTTCCAGCTTCTCTGGTTCCTTTAGTTTATCTTCCCAGTTACTTATTATGCAAACTTCAAAATAAAGTTCAGCTGAATGAATACATGAGTGGGAAGGGCATTTCTTCTTTGYAGTAAAGGTATGGTTCATGGTTCACTCTTATTTTATCTGTCTGGAATGTTCTTCTTTCATATATATTCATAGCTTTCTTAAAAAATGCAAAAATTGGAAATAAGGATAAGGATGAGCAGTGTATATGTTTTAATGACCAATAGAAAATTGTTTAATAAGCCTACTCCAGGACCACATAGAAGATTGTTCTTTATTTAACTGTTTATTATTGATTGAAGGTGACATCACATATTAATTTGTAGATTTTTTTCCCAAAAGAAAAATAATTTCTGTACTTTAGAAATGATAATTTCAAATAATATAGTTTATTGCTCTGTAGGATATTAACCAGTTTTATCTCTATTCTTGTACCGTTAGTACTCCACTGTTAAGTTTCCTTTGTGGATATCAGCTCTTCAAATGCATTTTGAGTAAGTCTTAATGTAAAGATTTATTTATTCACAAATAAGTAGAATAAATCTTAGTTATATGTTTAATTTATATTTATGAATCCCATATTAATTTAAAAATACTTTTAACACCTCTCACTGAACCCTATATTCCTTATTTACCTATTCAAATGCTACCTTCTTATGGGGGCTTTCCTTGACTATGTTACATAAAATAAGACCACGGATTCATGCTCAACATTCTTATACCCTCTTTCTTTACTGTATGTTTGCTTTATATTTGTCAAGTTTGTGCRTATATATTCTGGAGATGCTAGTTATTCTAGAGGCATATTTTCAACAACAAAATATTTAAATATACCCTAAAGTCCTGATGCAGTAAGAATTCAGAAAATCATAGACTTAATCATTGGCCTTTCTGTAATTCATTTCTTGCTGGGATTATAGGCATTTTTCAAACAGGTACCAAGCTTGTTCTTCCTAATAATCTCTTTTCTTTGGGAGACTGGATTACCAGGGGTTGAACCCAGAAGGGCTTAACCACTGAGCCCTTTTTTATTTTGAGAACAGGGTCTTACTAAGTTGCTGAGGCTGGACTCAAATTTGCAATCCTCCTGTTTCAGCCTCCTGAGTAGCTGGGATTACAGGTGTATGCCACTGTGCCTGGTCTGCCTAATAATCTCTTAGGAATAGTACATGTGATTAAATTTGTGAATGTCAAGYGAGGCTGTAATATGTTCAGTACAAGTAGGATGAAATAGTAGAAAAATGAGTTATTAAACAGTAGATGTTTGTGTGTGTATGTGTGTGTGTATGTATATACTCACATTCTGAGAGTTATAGTGTACCATTTATTTGTTAAAGTTTTGAAAGTCAATATATTTTTACATATTTTCAGTAAAATATGGTACTCCACATTTTTTTTATATTAAGGTACCTAGCTTATAGGTCTTCTAAATATTCATGGACATTAACAAACTATTCACTAATGAAGTAGAAATTTTTCTTTTTTGTTATTTATAATGATAGGTATAATAATAGAGTGGTGCTTGAATCTTTGTGGTATCCTAAGTGAAGCAAAACATTTAGAAATATAATAATATATACTGAAAAGACTAGATTAAATTTACTGAGAAGGATTAATATGTATATGCATTTATAAAAAATATTTATCCTGGAAAATGTGGACAATACAAAAAAAGGAAGCAAAATTCATACCTATTTGTACCATGAAATCTCAAGCATTTTTACCTGATTTCAGAATATTTTTTCTGCATTTTTAATTGGTGCATTAGAGTTGTACATAATGGCAGGATTTGTTGTTACATATTCATACAGGATACAATATAACAATTTAATTTGGCCAGTATCACTTTTCAGTATTTCCCGCTTCTTCCATAACTTCCACCCCTTGTTTCCTTTTCTCTACTGATCTCCTTTGATCTTTAGGAGATCCACCCTGCACCTTTGATTTCAGAATATTAAGCTTTGAATTTTCAATTGAGGAATGTACTCTTCATTTTAGGCCAGTGTTGGATATGCTTTTGCCAAGATTTTAATCTAACCAGAAGAAGAATAATTTATAAATGAAATATTTGTAAAATATTTTWAAAAAATATTTATTTTTTAGTTTTAGTTGGACACAATACCTTTATTTTACTCATTTATTTTTATGTGGTGCTGAGGAGCAAACCCAGGGCCTAGCACATGCTAGGTGAGTGCTCTACCACTGAGCCACAACCCCAGCCCAAATGTTTGTAAAATCTTAAAACAAACTTTTTTTTTTTAAATCAACATTAACTATGATAGAGAATTTTGTTATTTTATATGATATGGTCTAAATTACCAGGATAGGCGGAGAGTGTGTGAATACACTGTAACAGAAGGAAATAATGGATGCTGTGAATACTACAGTACAATGGGGGTGTGTACTCCCACCCTTTTTCCTGTCTGTCCAGGGTGTGTAGCTTAACAGGAGGAAGAAAAGTGAGTCACATTGCATTTGTCAGAGATAGCTATTTTAAAGACTTGAATAGAGAACTCCTCATCTTTGAATAATTTGGATTTCAGTCTCTTCTGTCTTCTCTCTGAGACTCCCGTAACAAGTGGGCCAGTACTTTAGAAAAGCACTAARGAAACTTGGCAACACATGTTATAGTTCTGCCAAATTAAAAATTTTAATTAACAGACATAGCTGATATTTAAATTATCATCTCTGATAGTTGTCAGTATTGGTAGCTATGGCGACCTTGAGAAATTCTTCCTATATGCTTTTTAGACTCTGCCTATGTGTTACAATTTCATTTTCTATTGGAATGCTTCCTAGTTATAGTAGCTGAATTATTTTATTTGAAAATTTAATTTTAAAAAAAGTAACCCACATACTATTATATGAAAATTAAGTGTTTTGGAAAATCTTAAATTTACCTAATCAGTGGATTCATACAGCTTTAGGTTATGTATATTCTGTTGCCAATTTCAGATTATATTACTTAAATATTAGTAGATATTTTTTCTGATATTTTATGTACTGTTTTAAAATGAGTATTAGTCAAGTGTTGGACATTTTGGCCTTTTACCAGAAGTTGCTGTGGTTATTTTGCTTTATGTTGTTTAGTTAAGGGTAGAAGAGATTGGCGGCTTGATAACCCTGAACATTTAGCTTAATGACATGGCATGTGGGGAATTGAGGAGCTCTGCATAGATAAACCAGAAAGTTCATAGTTTGTGTTCTTATGTAGGAGTGGAGAATGTTGAAGGAAATGCACATTAAGTATAGCTTGAAAACATCACATTTATTCACTTGCTCACTTGCTTTTTTTTTCATGATCAATACTCTGATGAGGAGAATAAAAATATAAAGAGAATAAGAATTTTATGTTTTGATTGATTGTAGATGTCTTTCTATTTCTACTGTATTTTAGCTTGTATTAAATATTGGGGTATGTATAAATTTCAGTTGTTTAGCAATACATTTTCTACACAGCCCTTACAAAGAGCGAATGTTATGAGGGGAGAATCATCATAAGAATCATCATATTTGTGTGTTGGATAGTCCTTTTTTTTCTACATTTCAAAGCTTTTTGAATGATTGAATTATTAAATTCACAGTAAATACTGAGATTGGGAAGACCTCTTTGTCATAATGTAATAGACCAATAATCATTGTTGTAATAAGCATTTTTATTAATTAATTGAAAAACAACATGCTGCCTAGGCTAGAAAAGTTTATA